CAACTCCCCACCGTGGGGAGGGGGGACATCGAGACCTCCCGGCCCGTCCTTGGCCAAGAACCCTTGCTGCCGGACGCGGAGCCCGAAGTTGACCATGACGATGGCCACCAGGCCCAGCCCGACGACGGTGGGGCCCCACTTCTCGTAGTACACGCGCTTGACGTCGCGGCGCTTGCGGATCTTGTCGACGCGCCAGATGTACAACATCAGACTGTAGATCAAAGACAGCGAAGCCAGGATGGTAAACGCCCACGAGGAAGCGAAGGTGATGTAGTCGTCGCCGAAGTTGAGGAGGGTGGCGGCGATGGTGGCGAGGAGGATGGAGAACTCGAGCCACGAGAGGAAGGTGCGCTCGGCGGCGAAGTAGACTTTGGGCTCGACGCGGACGGGGACGTGGATTCCTGGGACCTGGGTTAGGATTTTGATTCTTGGGTGGGATGAAATGGGTCGGAAGGTAAAAAGGGCGCAAGACTCACGTTTGCCTTTGGGAGCGTGGAATCGCTTGACGGTACGCTTGTTGCCGATGACGGCGATTCCGCTTTGCTCGGGTGCGGGGAGACTGGTGGGTGTAGGTCGGGGGATGAGGGATTTGAGCACGTGGATTAAGATAGAGCCGGCGTGCTCGGTGTAGTATTTGGCCAGCTGCTTGTAGTAGTATGTGCCTCCAACCCGACGCGCTTCTTCCAATTCATCCGAGTCAATGGAAGATTCTTGGTCCGAGTCGTACAGCGGATAATCCTCGTCGCCCGGAAGCGGTAGAGCGGCGATGCGTTCCTCAATGTCTAGCGCATTGCCATCTGAGTCTGCGAATAGAGCGTGGTGGTCAGCATCGGTAGCCTCGACTCGATGCACACCGTTCGGCCACTGGCCTGCGCTCTCGTCCTCATCCTCCGAGATCTCGTCTTCCGGGGTTTCTGTCGCGGATAATGAGGTGCTGGGCAACGGGCGCGTGATTCCAAACTGGCGGGTGGCTGGCTTGCGGATGTCGACGTCCATCTGCGGCATCCAGAATGGCAGGAGGTTGATGCGGTCCGGAAACAGCGTGGCCGTGCCGTGGATAAATTTACTGTATTTGGGAACGGCCTCAACCAGATGGCTAGCTGTTAGCTCCCTGATCCACTTGGGTGGCTCCTGACCCGCCTGTGTTTGGAGCTTGACTTCCAGGACGGCGTAAGGGAAACGCTCCACGTCCTCAGGGGGCAATTGCGAGAACGGATAATCAACACCGATGTCCATGCGACGCCAGTTGTCGCCAGCTCTGCGGCGACCGTCAAGGTTGTCCTCTCGAACCATTGTCAACTCAGTATCAAGTGAGATACGCACGCGAGCGTCTCCGGGAAGCTGGAAGGCTGTGCGGTGGTAGAACGACCGGGTGACGGGTACTAGTCGCCGTGTGATGACTCGATACTGGATTTCCCGCGCCAGTTGCTCGAGGTTGGCGATTTCTTCTTCGCTCTTCTTGCCTTCCCTGCGCATCTTCTCGAAGATTTGTTCCACCGTCAAGCGACCAGCCAGGTAGTCGTTGACATGCTTCTCTTTCAGCGAGAAACGTGCCTTGACCGACTTCTCTCCAGTCCAATCCTCTCGGTGGGTCTTGCGCTCGACGAAGATTTGATCGCTTTCCATGCCACCGTACCAACGCAATCGGATAGCCTCCGCGCCTTCGGTCTTCTTTAGGCGACCTTGGTATAGTTCCCAGGTATCAGTGTTGTCGTAGTAAATAGAGGAAATAGCAGCGTCCTTCTCCTCGAACTCTTTGCTTGGGTTGAAGACTAGAACAGGAAGGTGCTATTTTATCCCATTAGCAGCCGAGGGACCTAACGGGCCACGGTGAGCCGCTTACCTTGAGAATAATTAATTTGAGCTCGGTGATGTTGTCTGGGTGTACCCAATACTTGGTAGTTTGGCGGACAAAGTTCTGCTGGCTTCCACCGGCGGCGGAATCACCCTTAACGGGGTTACCTTTGGTCCGCACAAGGTCGTAGAGCTTGGACAATTTAACCACGAGCGCATCATAGTTATCGTTGAAAAATGGCTTGGCGTTGAGACGCGCAGCGAATACTGGCTTCAGATGCCATCCCGTTTGTTTCTGCATGTAGTCGTTAGCGGGCGCGCAATTCCCCAAAGAGTCCCCATTCTGTGGATGATGTCATTCCGGTCTTGATAGAAAAAAACTCACATCATGCTTCTTGATAATTTTCTGAAACCCCGTATAGTTCAATTGCGTAAACTTGGCCAGGTCATGTACGTCGGCGATGATGTCGCTCAAGGCCTGCTCGAGCACCAAGAAATCCTCGTCCGAGGGCGGATCGCGGTTGGGTCGGTTGTGGGAGACACTGTCGGACCGGGCACTGGTGGCACTCTCCAGGCGCGACACCACATCACTGACCTCCTGTTCGCTCGCCTGAATGCGACGAGCGATCTCGGCGCTCTTGATCCGCTGAAAGTTGAAGACCTTGTCCAATTCGCTCTCCAGCAGCGTCACGAAGTGCTTCTCGTCGTCTTCCGACCAGGGCTGGCGATCGGGGCTGGCATTTTCGGGGGTGGGCTCCGTGACATACCCGGTCTTCAGAGCTTTCTTCAGTTCTTCATAGGCGATGTAGTACCAGTAGTACTCCTTGACCATGGACGACCGGAGATGTTCCCCGAACCTGGAGAGAAGGGCGGAATTGTGAGTGGAGGACTCTCGTCGTTGAATGAACAATTGGGGTGGACCAACCTCATGCTGAAAAATTGTTAACGAGTCGCGCAGATATCCAAGTATGGTGAGTAGATGCGAAGGGTGAGAATGGGTAAAGTAGAGGAAGAGAATGGGGTGGGCCAGTGTCAGGTAAAGAACATGATGCGGACGCAGGGGGGGGGGAAGCGGGAAGGCGGAGGAGACGTTGGAAGCGAGACTGAACGAAGGAATAAGCAGGTCAACTGAGGAGAAAAAAAAAACTCAATGAACAAGCTGATGGACGACGACTAGTTTCAGACGATGCGACGAGAATGGAGAACTTTTTTTCTCGGTGATGAGTGAGAGACAGGGGAGAGGGGAGGGGAGAGGAGCTATGATGGATAGCTTCGAGATTCTGGCCATGGATGGGGGGGGGAAGGGCCCAGAGACGACGTCAACCCGTGACTGCAATCGATAACACGGCTCCATTAGTGGTCCGGGCGTGTCTTATTCATCACCATCTCGTCCTCGAAGGCAACAAAGACCACGGTAAATTGGCCACAATAATCGACCGAATTGGCAGCTGGTTGCGCGGAGTGGTGTTGTTTGGGATTGACCAGTAAACTGAGTAAGGAAACTAGGACCCAACTCGGCTAAAGCCTTAGAGAGGCGAGTATAGTGTCGAATTGTCAAATGGATTTCTCATGGATTGTCAGCCAGTCGATTTAGCAGGTGCTGCTCTAAGTCAGGGCGCTTTGCTGCCTTAGGCTTAGTCGGAGTCGACACGAGGATTGCAGCTCGTCTCCACCCGCTGCCGCACCGCTGCGATCGTCCCTGGCCACGGCAGTCATCTTGCCTTTCAATCTCATTCTTTCATCTCTTTTCGCCGTTGGTATGATCGGTATAATACTGTCTCTTATTGTAAAAATCAGTCCGGCAGATAACTCGACTACCCTTCCCGTGGGCATCGAGGAACAGTCCTGCATCAACCGAGTCCATTCGGAAGGCGCAAAACACCGCCTGCCCTGGGGTTCTGTTCTATCTCCTCGGAATAGCCGAGCATTATATATGTTGACTCACCTGGATCAATCAAAGGTTGCTGCCTATGTCTCTCCTCGCCTGTCTAGACCGATCGGCCCCGATGCAGAGAATTACGAAATCAGAGAATCACCAATTAAGTTGAGTAGCGATGCTAACCGGGTAGACTACGGCAGTGGCTAACATGTAGCTAGCTGGATAGATTTACATTTCATCCCACCGGGCTATAATACCGAGGCTAATATTGGGAGAAATCAGACGGTCGTTTCTACCTAGTACACCCCGTACACTTAGTGGCGAGCCACCTGTTTCGATCCGAAAACAGGCCGGTGTTTGACTATCATGGATGGTCCGGGGACTGGATCGCAACAACTAGTCACCCAACTACACTGTACCATTGAGGCACGTGCCCTTTGGCCGGATTGGAATCTCAACGGGGCACGCCCGGCAGCCCAGCAGCCCAGTGTCCCAATCGAGAATGTGACTGTCCCTGATGCCGACTTCGCATGTTCGTGAGATGGCACCCATATCAAAGGTTCACCGGCAACTTCCACAGGGCGTGCATCAGCCCTGCAGCGAGATGGAGGATAGTCATTCAGCCACCGCCGAGTAGGTCAACAACTATGTAAGTACTACGTAGGTCCCTGCATCAGCCTCCTACGATCTTAGCTTCGCTGGGCGTAATTCCTCCAATCGGCCCCAACTGTTGCGTATGCTTAGCACCCGAGAATGCCCAGGAAGCCATCGTTGATCCCTCGTTTTTGTAAGTGCTAAAATCATCATCTAGCCTCTGACCAAAGAAAGCAGGATTTCCTCCATATCCCCCGTCAGGTACAGAGCAAGTAGGAATAAGCCTTTCCTTGGAGTGCTCTTTCCATTGATCAATTATGGGGTTCTCAAACATACTGTAGCAATATATGCCGCAGTCCAAAGCATCAAAGCGGTTACCCGAGGCCTGAACTACATCGTAGACCTTTGACAGGAAAAGTCCTCCATTTAAGCCCACAATACATAGGATTAGATGTGAAGTTCCTTTCAAGTACGTCCAATCACTCCAGGGCACCCCCAAAACAGTGTGTTGAAACACCTACCTTTCTCAGCACCTGTCGTGCCTGGATGCATATACAGATCTATTGTAGACTGAGGCACCAACGGACGGGTAAGGACGAGATAATACTCCGTAGACTTCATGGTCATGGGATATGGATGCCTTTCTCGTACTTCTACTCGTGAGACTTGCCTTATGGAGTACTGGGTTTCAAGTGAACAATTATAATTTTGTATGATTGACCAAGGAGTATTCGCACCCTGAAATAGATACACATGCTCAGAACATGAACGAACACCAGACGCCACCCTCCCATTGCAAGCGACTAACACAAATCGCACCTTTCCGAAAAGCTATCTAGTCCGTTGCATCATGTTTCTCATCAACTAGTCGCCCTTATATGGCGCTCAGGGCAGAGCTCCGGCGACGCGTCGGATACTGCGCCGCGGCCCATCGCCCAGGACATTGACCGTGCCCTCCGTCTCCAAGGCACGGACAGCATCGTTGAATTGGGCGTTATCCACGCCGGCACTGCTCTGCTCGTTCAGAACACGGTAGACGTCGGCCCAGCGGGCGCCGCCGGTGGGTCCGGCCAGCTCATCGACCACGGCGAGCACGCCACGCTTGATCGCCTCGCGGTTGCGTCTCTCGCTGGCGCTGGTGCCTTCGGTCAGCAGACCCATGTCAATGAGACCGGTGCGGGCGTCCGTCGCGGCTTGCTTGATGGCCGACCGGATCAAACGCACAGCTTCCTCCACATCGTCCGCCGTTACTTCAGTCGCCAAGCGCATACGTGCGTGAGCCTCGGAGAGACGAATCATCGATTCAAGTTGACGGGTGGTGGCTGTGATACGGCGGTCTGCCGACCGAATGTCGTCGCCCAATTTGCGCATGTTGACATATGCGTCGGAGAGCGCTTTGCCTGCAGCTGGGGTGAGCACGGGGTGCACCCGAGTCTTGGCGTAGGTGATGTAGGCCGTGAGGAATTCAACCGGCTGGCAGTTGCATGGTTAGAAATATTCCAGAGAAGAAGTGGGCTCCAACTTACCAAGATTTCTTCGTTGCTTGCATTCTCCGGCTTATCTTCCAGGTACATGTTCACCAAGTGTTTGGCCAGCCGGCGATCTTCTTGCTCATCGGTCCGATCCAGAACAAGATACACCAGGTCAAATCGAGAAAGGAGAGTAGGGGGCAAATCGATGTTCTGGGGAACGGGGAGATTGGGATTATAGCGACTGCCAATTGGGTTGGCCGAAGCCAGAATACTGGTACGGGCATTGAGGGTGGTAATGATACCAGCCTTGGCAACTGAGACGGTTTGCTGCTCCATCACTTCGTGCAGAACTGACCGCGTCGATTCGTTCATCTTATCAAACTCGTCGATGCAGCAAATACCGCCGTCAGAGAGAACCAAAGCACCAGACTCAAGGACCATCTGGCGAGTCTCAGGATCACGAGTCACATAAGCTGTAAGACCGACAGCCGAGGAACCTTTGCCGCTGGTATAGACACCGCGCGGGGCGATCTTGTGGACATAACGAAGAAGCTGTGATTTGGAGGTAGAGGGATCACCGCAGAGCAAGACATTGATGTCGCCACGGTAGCGAGGGTTACCTCCCTTTTCGAAAGTCTTGTTAGTGCCTCCAAACATCTGGAGCAGGATCCCCTTCTTAACATCATCCATCTCGTAGACACTTGGTGCCAGGGAGCGTGAGAGCAGCTCGTAGATGTCGGGCCGGGTGGCAGTTCGCTTGATCTTCTCCTCCTCTTCAGCTGTGATCTTGCGCACCTGCTCAGAGTCACCAGCAGCCTGCTCCGAAAGCTCTTGTTCGACAGTGGAAGCATCAATACCCAGCTTCTTGCGATCAATTTTTTGCACGTGCAAGACGTCCACATAGGTCTTGAAAAGAGTCTTCTGGGTCCGCTGGCGAGGGTTTACGCGTACAGGATTGCATCGGAAGATACCAGTAACCTCAACACGGTCACCAGCTTTGCAGACATCGACCAGCTCGTCGTACACGCACAGGGAAACAGAGTGGGGTGTTTGTCCATCAGGGATACTGTCGGGAGTTTCTTGGAGTTTGATCACCTGCTTGTCGGCAAAGGCACAGCGGTTGTGGATAAGCTGCATGGAATTCTTGGCCTTGCAAATAGGGCGGGGACATTCGGCAGGCTCTGCAATCCTGCCACGGTCGATATCGACCTGAACACTATGGTTGCAAATCTGACAGCGGAAGAAAGCTATGCAGAATATATTAGGTTTGGTACGACCGACGGGGAGGAAGCAGCTTACCCTCTTTCATGTCAGGGATGATAGGAGTGGTTCTGATGACCAGACCCTTGATGCTGATCAACTTATCCATGTCTGCGTCATGTCAGTATAGGGGAACACGGTTACGAAAAAACGAATAGCACATACCAGCAGGGTCAAGATCTCTCATGTTCACTGCAGAGTCAAGGCCAAAAGGCATGACCTTGTACGAGTTCGATTCGACTTCCTGGACAAGGTCTTGGATTTCGGCCTGTGGGGCCCGGCCAGCATCGCTCATGAGCGCATCAGAGCTTGGAACTGCAGGTGCGGAGCTCAAATCCTTTGACTGATTCTGACGGTGCCGGCTGTTACTCCGTTGGCGCTGCATCTCCTTACCTGCCAGCTCAACCATGACATCCTTGACAGTTTGATCCATCAGAGGAATGATTTCCTGCGGATAGGCGTGCAATTGGTGCCAGAGCTTCAGTGTTGAGGGGTATGCTTTGAGATTCTTCACGTCCAGGTTGAGATTGGTGACGCCGAGTTGACGCATTGTGTTCAGCATGGCAATGTATTCCCTCTCTTCAGCAGCCTTGCCCATCGCCCGAGTTTCGTTTTCGGATGCACCTTCCGCCCAGAGACGGTATTTCGTAGCGAAGTTGTAAATGAAGTTTTTGAAGGCGGACATCGAATCTTGGATGGAGATGTTGGTTCCCCAAATCACACGCGTGGAGCTGCCACCAAGAGCCTCCGCTTCGGAGGTGTCTGGGTGAATGTTGGAGAAGGTCGCATCAGAGCGCGGCTCGGCATCGGCGGTGGGCACACCATTGGCGTCGACAAAGATTCTGCGGCGGCGACTTGGGGTCGATCCAAAGCCGCCCGAATGAAGGTCATTGCGACGAGAAACTCCACGATTGCCGTCTGTGACTGATCTAGACGATACGAAAAGACCGCTGCTACTGCTGGGGATATCCGACCGCTCTGCCCGACGACCGAGAGAACGGGTCGGGCTGGAGCTAGAGACGTAACGGATGGGAGATGAATCTGTTCTGATTGTCAGCAGACCGCAGGACGCCTAGGATGAATTGTGACAAGTAGTACCTCTGATGGTAGCAGCGTTTCCTCGAGGCGTGGTTTCAACATCCTCAAATGTCGAAGATGCCCGGACAGGTGAGCTAGGCTCTTCCATACCGAGATCGGGCGTCTCTGCGCTGCTGTTTGCCTTCATCGGAGATGATTGAAAGAACATTGGCGACGACGATGGAACGGGGCCTTCACCCCGTACCCGCCGCGAGGCACGGGGAGTGGTCTGCGACTGATCATCTCTGGGAGGAGGGCTGCTGGTCTGAAGTTGTTGTTGTGATCTGGTAGAGCGGGTTGAGCGGGCAGGAGAGGAGATTGTCGAATCTCTGGCCGAGCGACCTCTGCGACGATTAGGCGCTGGAGAAGACATGATAATGTCTGGTCCTGTGAAGTGGGATTTTTATCAATGAAAACACTGACAGTCGGGAGGGGAAGTGTGGACAAAATGGAGACAAGTGCAAAACGGGATAGTGGAGGAGGGAGGATGTTGGTTGCTACGGCAGAGTCAGTAACAATTTCCAGGTGGGCCTTTGCGGAACTTGGAAGGAGAAAATGATTTCGCTTTTGGCCTGCGCTTCTTTTCCGCCTCGGGGGCGGAGGCGGACGCGCTTCGACGCGACCACCGCGTAAAGAGGTTTCTTCTTTGGGCCTGCGCGCCGCAAGAGTCCGGGTGAGCCACAGGACCTTAGTCATGGGTGGCTGGTGACTGATGAATTAGGGCTGAGGTGCACCGCCACACTGGTCCCATGCCCCTTGCTGTTTTCAGTAAGGTCAGGGATCTCCGGGTCGCCCTGGCGGGATAAAGACACTTCCCTTTGAGGTAAACATCGACACACATGTTGAATGAACAATGAGCCTACATTGAATGTATTGACTGTGCACAAAGCCTGTTGACATTGCTTGACTGCTATTTCTGTCTACTACTGCTTTGTGTCAATTACGCGCCTGCAACACTGTTCATCAAATATGGTTCAATGCAAGCAACACACTGGTAAGCACTCTCTCTATAAGCGAACAATGACGTGGTGGAGCACCAGCCAGGCGCCAGCCAGTTTCAGCAGGCGCTTGATGTCATTTCAAGGTGCGATCTTCTGTGGCCCGCAATCTCTCCCCCCCTCTCCCCTTCCAGTTCCCACCAATCCAGCGGCATTTCCCCTTCCCTTTACCCAGTGGCGCATCTTCCCTGTTCGCTTGGGGCCCTGGATCAACACCTGAATGGACAATGGGGTGGTGGTGGGTGCCACTGTTGTCATGCCTGCATCTGCAACACGTTTTTCTTTCTTATTAAGTTATTATTGATTCTTTTTTCACCCTTAATGCTACCCTTGTATTACCTACCCTTTTATTAGATCCCACCCCCCCCGGGATCTCGAAAACCGCTGGTACCACCACACACTAACTAGTCTAGGGTCAGGGTGACCACAGGTTAACCGAAGGCTTTCTTTCACCTCCTTCACTCTCATTGACTCGCGGTTCTCTAGATCGCCGCTCCTGCGCTGATTGGTTGTCGACTACCGCCGTGTAATGGCATCTTAATTTCGCTGCGGTGACGTTGAACTCTTCCTGCTTGACAATCAACCACTTTAGCTGCATGATGTGCACCTGTTGCATGTCAACTTCACCTGATTATTTACAACTTTTATCTTCTCATCCTCGTCCTGCTTGTGACAACTTTCAAATCTACCAACATCAACTGACCTCTGTGGAAGCGATCGTCGCTTGCTTCAATCATGGGTGATTTGGGGTCGGCGCTGGAGCATGCGGGCGGCACAGGCAAGAACAAGGAAGGCATCTCTATCGGGACTTTTCTTGCCTCCCTGGCCACTGCCCTCGTCGTCTTCGCAGTTGAATTTCTCCTCTTCATGCTTCTCAAAGGGAAGCTGACCCGCATCTAGTATGTATACTCAAATCCCGGTACCAGAGAGCCGACGGACTAACATTCGATCTCTCCTAGCCAGCCGAGAACATACTTGGTACCGGACAGAGAACGTACTCAACCTTCTCCACCAGGGCTTTTCCAATGGATTGGTCCTGTCTTTCGTACCTCAAGTTCGGAGTTCATACAGAAGTGCGGCCTGGATGCCTACTTCTTCCTACGATACCTGCGCATGCTACTCAAGATCTTTCTGCCCTTGGGCTGCCTTTTACTACCCGTCCTGATACCGCTGAACAAAGTCGGCGGTAAAGATACGAATCTCAAGAATGGAACCGACGAAGGTGGCGGTCGGTGGAATGTCACTGGACTTGATCAATTAGCTTGGGGTAATGTCACCCCAGAGCATACTTCGCGATACTGGGCACATTTAGTCATGGCGGTCATTGTCATTTTCTACGTCTGCGCAGTCTTCTTCGACGAACTGAGGCACTACATCCGTCTCCGACAGGCGTACCTGACCTCACCCCAGCATCGACTTCGTGCTTCTGCCACCACTGTTCTGGTGACTGCCATTCCAGAAGGCTGGCTCTCGGTGAAAGCGCTAGAAAGACTATACGACGTCTTCCCCGGAGGTATTCGGAATATTTGGATCAATCGTAATTTTGATGATTTGCACGAGAAGGTGAAAGAGCGAGACAAGCTGGCCTTAAAGCTCGAGGGTGCGGAAACTGAGTTGATCATGAACTGCAAGAAGGCCCAGCTCAAACAAGCTAAGGCTGCGGCGAAGAAGGCCGGACTAAACCCGAATTCAGTGGAGACTCAAGAAAGAAAGGCAGCCGAGAGGAAGGCATCGCAGTTAGCCATGGACGCTGGTATTAGCTCCGGAAACCCGCATCAAGCCCAGACGCTAGATCAAGTCCTGCATCGCAATACAGGAGATAGTCTGCATGCGGAGCCCAAGAAGAAGAAGCTGCTCTTCAACCCCTTGGATCCCGCGCTGGAAGCAGCAGGTGCTGTTGGACAAGGCGTGGAAAAGCTGGGAAAGTCTGTTTTGGGAGGATTCCGGAAATGGGAGCATGGTATCGACGATAAGCTGACCCGAACTGGAGGCTTCGTGCCTGAGAGCAGCGGTGCTGCTTACAATGGCCACGTTGCTCCGCCTGCCAGCCATGCCAGTCGTGAGGACCCCTTATCTTGGTCAGGAGGTATTCATGACGAACCAGAACAACTCCAGGAGAACGAGGCAGATGTGGCGGAGATAAGGCCTGAACTCTCTAGGCCCGAAGCCTCTCGGTCCGAATCATCGAGGCCCGGAACCTCTTCTCATCCCAAGCGGCCAGTCTGGAAAAGTCGCGGCTCCGGCAACTCCAAATTCAGCAAGAGAAGCAACACTTCTGAGCCCGATGAACTTCCGTTGACAGCCCCCGAGTCGCCCGTTGAGCGGGCGTCGAGCTCTGAGTCCGACAGAAGCCAGTCATTGAAGGAGAAACATACGGAAGACTCAAAACCAAATGGAAAAGAGGGAGATGAACTGGAGGGACATGAATATCCACTGGCCTACAATGAGGCCTTCGATATTGAAGATTTTGGAGAGCCAGTTTGGAAAAAGTACATTCAGCAAAAGAAGCGCCCCACTATGCGGCTCCCAATCTTCAGCTGGATGCCATCTTTGTGGCTTATAGGCAAAAAGGTCGACACTATTGACTACTGCCGCAAAGAGCTGGCTCGGCTGAACTTGGAAATTGAGATTGACCAGCAGCATCCCGAGCGATTCCCTCTCATGAATTCCGCGTTCATCCAGTTCAATCATCAGGTGGCGGCTCATATGGCATGTCAGGCAGTCAGCCACCATGTTCCCAAGCAAATGGCGCCTCGCATTGTTGAGATTTCGCCGGACGACGTCATCTGGGATAACATGTCAATGAAATGGTGGGAACGGTATCTGAGGACATTTGGAATCATCGCTCTGGTTTGCGCCATGGTTATAGGATGGGCAATTCCAGTTGCCTTCACTGGTCTCCTCTCGCAGCTGACATACCTCGAAGAAGCTTTCACCTGGCTGTCCTGGATTTCTAAATTACCAGCTTGGGTCATCTCGGCAGTACAGGGTGTCTTACCCGCACTTTTTCTTGCAATACTCATGGCAATCTTGCCTCTTATCCTGCGCTTCCTCAGTCGGACCCAAGGCCTTCACACTGGTATGGCGGTGGAATTAACGGTCCAGGCCTATTACTTTGCGTTCTTATTTGTGCAACTGTTCCTGGTTGTCACCATTTCATCGAGTTTCTCGACCATCATCAGTAACGTGACCGATGTCACTAGCTGGCCAGAACTCCTAGCACAGAACATTCCCTCGTCCAGTAACTACTTCTTCTCATACATGATTCTACAGGCCATGTCTGTGAGCGCGGGAGCATTGGTCCAGATTGTCAATCTGATAAGCTGGTTCATTCTCGCACCGATTTTCGATAAGACAGCCAGGAAGAAGTGGGCGCGTACAACCAACCTGAATCAGATGCAATGGGGCACTTTCTTCCCCGTTTACACCACCCTTGCTTCAATCGGTATGTTTGTCTCAGCTTATGCTAGAGCTAGCCACTTACTAACAGATTCTCTCGCAGGTTTGATTTACTGTGTCGTTGCGCCCCTCATTCTGGTCTTCAATGTGATCACATTCGGTCTTTTCTGGTTCGTCTACAGATACAATACTCTTTACGTAACCAAGTTCCGCTTCGACACGGGAGGCCTGCTCTTCCCGCGGGCAGTTAGCCAGTTGTTCACTGGTCTGTACATTATGGAGCTTGCTCTTATTGGCTTGTTCTTCTTGGTTCGCGACGAGAATGGGGATGTCGCATGCGAAGGTCAAGCGATCGTCATGATTGTGGTTTTGATCCTCACCGCAGGGTTCCAGCTTCTCCTAAGTGATGCTTTCGGCCCTTTGATCCGTTATCTGCCTATAACTTTGGAAGATGACGCCGTGCGTCGTGATGAAGAATTCGCTCGGGCTCAAAGGGCACGATTGGGTTTACACGAGGACGAAGATTACGATCATCTGCCAGATGCCGTCGATCATCCGTTAGGCGATCAAGAAGAGGCGCAACGACAACTGGAAGCGAGTTCTCAGAACATCGAGCTGAAGAATCTCGACTCGTCCCCGGAGAGAAGCCACAGCCACCACGGTCTGCACATCCAGAAACCCAAGCTTGGACCTCACCGGGGGTCGTGGGCTGATCGCTCTCCGGACCGCCGATCCAAATTCTATGGAGTCAACTCGGAGATGGCGGTTCCTAGCATTGAGCGACTGCGGGAGAAGATCGCCCTTGACGCCGAAAACCAAGCTCCCCCCGCGCGCAACATGGGCCCCGCTTTGTTCTCCGGCATTCACGACGAGTTGGAGGATCTCACACCGGAGGAGCGTGACCAGCTCACTCAGCGAGCCTTCCAGCACGAGGCTTTACGCGCGAAGCGACCCGTGATCTGGATTCCTCGAGACGACCTGGGCGTTAGTGACGACGAGATTTATCGGACCCAGCGATTCAGCAAACATATCTGGATCAGTAACGAGTACCAAGCACTCGATGGAAAGAGCCACACAATCTTCAGCCGCAGTCCGCCCGACTTCTCTGAAGTTGACCTCATTCAGCTGTAGATCATGACCGTCAGGAACGGTTGATATCATGACGTGATGATTTTTGCTTCTGTGCTCTTCTTCAGCGTTCTGTCTTTTTACCTTTTAGTTTTTCTTCTTTTTCTTTTTCGTTTTCTCATTTGGAGCTATGTGCATCACTGGGAGTCTTGGCAGCATTTTCCCGCAGCGAGCTCGAAGCAAGTGCACCATACAGGAGCCTGCTCATCTTGTATATAGTTAGATCCCTGCTTGTACGACTTTTTAATCTGAGCTTGAAATACACCGCTTCTCTCTGCACCACGACCAGCACTGCATTTGTAGAAATTGGGTCATCAAGACAATAATTCATTGCTTCACATAGATATATAGGTCTCTAGTCCATGTATCTGCACAGCGGCAGACGATACTTCTCAATAGCCCAGTACGGCCTGCGCACGCCACTCCACTCGCCCTCCAGCGTGGGGACCTCGAACTCCTCCCAGTCGGCATCGAACCCGGCCTCGAGCAGATCGATCTCCACCACCTTCTGGTAGACATCGTAACTGATCTGGCGATCGGCGCCCATGCCGTTGAAGAAGCTCCACTTGCCCTCCTGCTCCAGCAGGCCGATGACCTGCTCGGTGAAGAACTCGCGGAAATCCGCGTACGACTCGGCGAAGGTGTCGTAGTAGATGGCGTCGAACATCTCGCCCTCGGCCACGAGCGCGGGCAGGACCTCCTGCCACCGGCCCTCGTGGATGACGACGCCGGGCCGCTCGTGCCAGCCCTTGCGCTTCATCTCCGCGACGACCTCCGGGTGCGCCTCGACGATGTGGTGCGCCGCGGGGGTTTGGTCCTGGAAGAACCCGTCGACGATGCCCATGCCGTGGCCGATGTTGAGCACCCGCAGCCCCGGCGCCGGCAGCAGCGCCTGCGCGGATTTGCGCATGATCTCCGTCTCCCACGCCATCATCACGCCGTTCTGGTCCTGGTCCAACAGCCGGTCGTGTTGGAAGGTCAGCCCGGAATCGAGGTAGCGGGATTGCGTGACGTCTGGGTTGGTGGTGGTGGTGGTGGTGGGCTCTTCGGTGGCAGTGGCGGTAGTAGTAGCAGCGCTGGCATCGACCAACTCCGGTACTGTTTCCTGCTGCTCCTCCGCCTGCACATCCTCACCCTCACCCTCCTGCATCTCCTCATCCTCACCCTCCTCCTCATCATCATCATCCCCATCCGACAAAGCCTCATACCCAAACCCATCCAACCGGCCCAGCAACAACTCCGCCCGCACCCCAGCATCCACCAGCGCCTCGTACACCTCGCGCAACCCCAGCCGCCGCGCAATACACCCCGGCGTCTCTCCGTTACGATCCAAGTCATTCCAGATCGCGCCCTCCAACAACAAGAACCGCACCGTCTCCAGCGCGGCCTTCTCTACCTCCGCCGTACTGGTGGCGGTGGGCGTGGCATGGTCCGCGGCCCCGTTCACAGCGGGTTGCGAATCCTCGTCCTCCTCGTCCGGCTCGCAGGCGGCCACGGCGGAGTGGAGCGGCGTGAGCCCCGTCTCCGGGTCGCGGGCGTTGACCGGGTTGGCGAGGGCGGGGGATGGGTTCGTGCGGATCAGGCGGCGGAGTTGGGCCAGGTCGTGCTGCGAGGCGGCCAGCAGCAGCTCTTGGATGTCGGTGTCGACGTTGATGGTGAGGTCGTCGGGCGTAGGGTCCATTTTTTTTTCTGTGATTTCTGTGTCCCCGGGGTGAGCGTTCTGTTTGGAATTTTGGGAGGGGAGCTGTTAGAAGTTGGGTGGTTTTGACAAAGGAGGAGAGGGGGAGGGTTATGGGGGAGGTATAGTATTGCCCAGTGCAGGCGGGGTCGGATGGGATTGCCTTGGGGGTATGGGTTCTGCGAAGGGAGAGAGCTTACCTTATTGTGATTTGAGGAGGGGAGGTATTTCTCAATGGAAGAGAATTGTTGCCAGGTCTTCAATTATAGACCTCTGTTGTTGCGGGGAAGAAATATTGATGAGGAGAAAAGTTTCAAGCTGCGATCTGAAAAAAATCCGCCCGCCGCTTTCGTTCCCCGCTGACGATCCCGCGGCGGGCACGATTCGATAAGAAAATGCTACTCAAAACACTTTTTTTGCCCTCAGAAAGACATACACTGTAGTCCATGCGGAACACAATGAAAAGAGAAGAGAAACTGTTCGCCTGGTTGCTCTGAGAATCCTGCAAATAACTGACTATTTGTACAAAAAACGTCCCCCCCGCATCTCCTTGACCGCGCGCAACCTAGAATAGCGCCAAGGCCCTCGTTATAAGAAACAAACCCATTAGAGTCAAAACAAATCCGATCGATCGCCTACCACCGGTCCATGCATCTCTGGCCCTTACTGCTTATCCTCCCCGCCTGCATTCACGTTCAGGCCCAGACCCTGCGAGTCCAAGTACAACTTGTTCTTGCCGCTGTGCTCACCCAGGATCTGAGCGATGTGTCGGGCGTTCTCAATCTTACGCAGCTCAATGTAGCTCTTGCTCTTCTTGATGGCATCACCGATCAGCTCAGCGGAGCGGGCCTCACCCTGAGCGCGGACGATGAAGGCTTGCTTCTCTTGACGAGCCTTATCAACCAGGAACGCAGCCCGCTGAGCTTCCTGCTGGGCAACTTGCTTGGCCTCGACGGCGGCGGTGAATTCGGGGGAGAAGGTAAGGTGCTGCAGTAGAGGAAAGCATTAGAGGGAGAACGATTGAAGTAGAAAAATGGCATATGACGTACCGTTAGGGAGACATCGTCCAGGGCGATGTTGAAGCGAGCAGCCCGACGGGCAAGGTTATCCCGGACAAGACGGGCAACGTTCTCACGCTGAGTGATAAGCTGACTGGCGTTGAACTGGGCCACCACACTCTTCAACACCTCGTTGACAATGGACGGCAACACCCGCTCATCGAAGTCTTGGCCGAGAGTACGGTATATTTGAGGAAGAGCATCCACGCGGGGTCTGGACAGGACACGGCAGGTGATGTTCACCATCTGCAAGTCCTTGGTACCGGTAAGGGAAGCGATGTTGCGCGGCTTTGCGCGCACGTTATAGACAATCGGAGTCTCAACCCAGGGGATCCGGAAGTGAGTTCCTATTTGGAACGAGTCCTATCAGCGGATGAAACCGGAAAAATAGCTTCAAGAACTAGACGCACCTTCAGTGTAGATCTCCTTCTGCACACCACCGAAGCGGGAATACTTGATAGCACGGTGACCACCGTCAACTAGAGAACCCACCCCGTTAGCTCAAAACAGCTTCCCACAAAGCTACCCGATTGAATTGCAGGCCTTCTCACCGTTGAACAGACAGTCAGAGGCCAGGAAGATAGCTCCAACACCGACAAGCAGGGCGCCAGCAGCTCCGAAGCCGCGTCCACCGCCGCCGCCAAATCTCTTGAGGTGAGAACCGCCGCGGTTCTGCAGGAGAACCTGGAGTCTCTCCCACTGCTCCCTAGGATTCTGAGACATGGTGAAAGATGAAAAGATGAGGGTGAATGTGGTATGAGCGAAGCGGAGGGGAAAAGAGAAGCCAACGGGGAAAGAGGCAGGATGGAGGGAAGTGGAAGTTCGCGGCAAATCGCCCGATTCTGACACCGCCTTGGCAGTTTTCCGTACAACATCATCTTTCCCGCTTTCATTGTTTCGCGCTTTTTCCCACTCACCAAACATCGCAATCATGGCCCCGCAAAGGAATAACGGGACGAGTATCTTCCTGGGGAATATTCCCTACAGTATGTGCTCTGCCCCCTCCACCATGTCACCGAAGACACACAAATGCCAGCAGCTCAGCTCCCTCATAACCAAAACATTGTCCCCGTCGAACATCTGCTGACCCGAACACCTTTCACAACCTCTCCAGACCTCACCGAGGAACAAATCAGAGACATCCTCGGCACCGCCGGCACAGTCACGAAGTTTCGTCTTATGATCAACCAGGAAACCGGCAAACCGAAGGGATATGGATTCGCCGATTACGCCGACGCCGACTCCGCAGCCTCTGCCGTGCGCAACCTGAACGACTACGAGGTCATGGGTCGCAAGATCCGCGTCGACTGGCCCCATAACAACGAGAAGGACTCCGTGCCGCCCGAATACCTCCACCAGAACGCCGGCCCCGCGGGCGCTGCTGCGGGACAACAAGACGGCCTGGGCCTTGGCGGCGCCGGGGGAGCTGGCGGCGCGCAGCCCGCGCATGCGCCGCTGCCTCCTCTGCCCCCGGGTGTGGAGGTGCCGCCGCACCTGGACTGCCCCAACGCCATCTCGCAGACACTCTCCTCCCTCCCTCCCAACCAGCTCCTCGATGTCCTCCAGCAGATGAAGTCCCTGGTTATGGCCGACCCCGCCCGCGCCACGGAGCTCCTCCGCCAGGCGCCCCAGCTCGCCTACGCCATCTTCCAGGCCTTGCTCCTCATGAACCTGGTCGATTACAGCGCCCTCGGCTCGGTCGTGGAACAAGCCGCCGCGCAGACCGCCGCAGCTGCACCACCACCACCGGCCGCCGCCGCCGCCGCCGCCGCCGCAGCGCAAGCTTTCCAGAACTTCCCCGGCCAAGTGTCCACCCCGCCGATGGTCTCCGCGCCTTTCGGACAGCAGCAGCCTCCGCAGGCGGCGCCGCAACAGGCAGCCCCGCAAGCCATTCCCGGCCAGGAAGAGCTGCTGCAGCAAGTCCTGAGCATGCCGCAGGCCGCCATCGATGCGCTGCCCCCGATGGAACGCAGCCAGATCCTGCTCCTGCGTCAGCAGTTGATGCAGGGTGGGATGCGTTGATGATGACGATGATGACCAAATCCTGTTCTTTTTTTTTTTGTTCTCGCTCTTCAAATTTCGGGCGGCATCGGTGGTACAGTCCTTTGTTTTCAGAGAGAGCGTGTTAGTATCCCTTCTTCTTCCCCCCTCCTCTTCTACAACCACCTAATCCCAGTTTGAACAGTGATATCGGCAGCAACAGCAGCAGCATCGTCTTGGTTCGCTTTGTGTTTTCGCTTCGATGAGTTCGCAACAAACTGGAATGGCGCAAACGGGGTGTCTTTTTCTCTCGTCCCTATGGGGTCCTGTTTTCTGGGGGGGTTTCACCAAAACCATCGGATCTGTACTTTACATATCACTTCTTGCCTTGCGGACACTACCTTTTTTCATCAAGCGAGTTGTGGCAGATATCCCAAACGTTGAATTGTTTTTTATCTTGGTCCGTAGACACATTGTAGAATTGACGTAGTAGCTGTAGACGCGCATATCTTGCTCCCGCGTGGAGCGAGTGCTTCACAGCTATCCACGAGTCTACAACCTTAACACGGAGAGCTACATGAGAAACAAATCAGTATATAGTAACATCATCTCCTAGAGAACATGGTAACTCTTGCAGACTGTATATAATACCTCTCCTATACCGTAATCGAACACGCAAAATTGTAGTAAGCGCATCACAGCCCCATGATATTCTGCTTCAAGTTGTTCTCCACACCTCCTTGCCTTCAGCACAGCAAATCCATCTATAAAACCCCACCAATCTCCACAACAGTCCACTCCATTCCACCCCCCAAAAACCAAAATGAAGCCCTCTAAACACCACAAGATTCCCGTCTTCATGGCGCATACCCAGAACACCAGAGCAAGAAACCCCAACCTCGCAGTATCCATAATCCATAACACAAGACCCCGATCCCAGAGATCCAGCTAGAGCACTCCAAACAACCAATATCCTTTCCCAACCCCAGAAAGTACTATATTCTACAACGAACGCCTAGAAGATCGACGTCAAAGATAGAACCATCATCCCGCAAGAGAGAATCAACATCCCAACAAAGCACCGCTCAAATCTCATCTGCCCTCTCCCAAAACCAACAACAGAAGAGCATATAGAAATCCCCCAACCCCATCTCCCTTCGCTAACGTTCTCGATCCTGGGATCTTCAATATTCATTGCATCTATCACAGAGGGATCAGTCCAGAAGAATATCCGCCTGGAAGATAAGAAAGCAGGGACTAGATGACGCTTGGGCAATGTTCCAACGGAAGGTCATTTCATGGTGGTAGCCACCGCACCTGGTGTTATGAACATACGTTACCTAGTATCCTTTGGACATATCATTCTGGAATGGGAACCAGAGAAGTTGCAGACATGGTCAAGAGCCACACTGATCAGTTACCTTCTTCCTCCGAGTTGCCCAGATCATAGAAATCGACAGAGGTAATTTAGAGGCGGAGTCTTCGGCCCATTTCACTTCCCCAAGCGAAGAATGGTTTCATGTTCTGGTTACAGGACTTTGCCTGGTGATCTGTTTACCAAACCTCCTATCTCATATACCAGCCTCATCAGCGTAGACGTGGACATCCATACGGACAACGATAGTACAGTCATCTGTGATTAGGACTTGATAGAACGAAAAACTGTTCCTTTACACGTAAGACTCAAAGAGATACTAGCATCAGAAACGAAGCAGTTGCCATTGCTACAACCCATCATATCCACCTTGCACCTGACCATGGGCTCATCGCAACAGGTTGTAACAACAGCAACACATTCACTAGGCCACACAACAAACACTCCTCCAAGACCTTGCAAATTTTCAGTCATCTTATTTCACATTACCTTCCCCACCCACACACATTTCTTTGTCTTTGTTTTTTCTACTCTCACTTTTCTTCCTCCCCTCTCACCTATCTCCTTCGGCATAAACTTCTTCCATCAACACCACGTGACTCATTCGAACCCTCATAGATTCATCTCTCTTTCAAAGATCCTAAATCACATCACAGAACTGAAATTGGATTGTGCTCTCTCTCACACGGAGGTGACTCTCTCACTTCTTCCCACCAAGAAGAAAAGAAAGATGCCTCCAGCGAGGAAGAGGGCCTCGTCCCAGGAGGAGGGCCCGCCGCCCAAACGATACCAGCTCCTCCTGACAGACACCCCCGATGACCAGGCAATGGCTGCAATGGAAGAGCTGGACCCAATCAACCCGGAGTTCGTCAGAACGCTGCCGTACTCTGGTGAGGGAACGACGGCGAGATCCCAGATGGCCTGGCACCTGCCGCCCATGCACAAACTGAGCGACATCTTCAAGTCGATCACCCAACGAGCAATGGAGCTGGGCTTAGACAACTACCTGACCCACGTCGGTTCCAGACCTCTCCGCGTAGTCACTGTCTGCTCTGGCACCGAAAGCCCGTTGCTGGCCCTGGAGATGGTGCAGGAAAGTAAGTTTTTGCCAGCCCTCATTGCTAGTGCCATCACCATCAGGATGACTGACAAACCCACCTTTTCTTGTTTGCAAGATCTGCGAAAGTTCCATAATAGAGAGCTTGCATTCGAACACCTTTTCAGTGCCGAAATTGTACCCTTCAAACAGGCTTATATCGAACGTAATTTTCATCCCCCGTTGCTTTTTCGCGACGTAACCGACTTGAAAGGTCGCGTAGCGTGAGTTCTCTTTCTTGATTTCGATCTCTCAAATGAAACTTGTTTCTAACTCCTCCCCAGCCAAACGGCATATGGATCTTGGGCCAAGATACCCAAGGATGTCGATCTTCTTGTCGCAGGCTTCTCGTGCGTGGACTTCTCAGTTTTGAACAACAGGCAGAAGACGCTCGACGAGACGGGTGAATCCAGCGGGACCTTGCGAAGTATCCTAGCATATGCCAAAGCGTACCGTCCACGCCTGGTCATCCTGGAGAACGTGAAAAGCGCTCCGTGGCCCACAATCAAACAATACTGGACGGACATCGGCTACTCTGTCGTACATTGCGCCGTCGACACAAAAGCATATTACCTGCCGCAGACGCGCGAGCGAGGTTACATGTGCTGCGTTGATTCCCAACTCCTGCAGCAAACTGGTCTCTCTACAGAGAGTATGCTGTCGTGGTCTGATCTGATGTCCAACTTCGCACGTCAGGCGAGCTCCCCAGCAGGGATGTTTCTCCTTGATGCCAATGATCGAAGGCTGCATCAGATTGCCAATAGCTTAACATTCCCCGCGTACCGGGGTCGTGCGTGGGAGAAATACGAAGTCCGCCATCAAGCGTATAGACAGACTGAGCACCTTGGGTACAAGCGTCCATATACCAGGTCGCTGGACAACGGGACTTGTCTAACACCAGACTACAGCTGGCATCTATGGAATAGGTCCCTAGTAGAGAGAGTCTGGGACACCCTCGACGTGAACTTCTTGCGCAAGCTCAAGGAAGGTTACGACATGACCTACAAAGAGTAAGTTAGCTTCGAGGATCCTCAGAGCCGTAGAAGAGTGCTAAGCTGACCGACCTTAGGAGATGTATTGATCTTTCCCAGGGTATTGAACGCGAAATAGACCTTCGTGCCTTTGGCCTGGTCGGCTGCATCACTCCTGCCGGTGTCCCCTATCTTACCAGCAGGGGAGGACCACTCTGCGGAGTCGAAGCTCTTGCCTTGCAGGGCCTACCATTGGATAGACTTTTGGTCACACGCGAATCTACTCGTGAACTGCAAGATCTCGCGGGTAATGCCATGAGCTCAACGGTCGTCTGTTGCGCGATGCTCTCGGCACTGATACTAGCACACCTAGTCCTTCGTGCTGGTGAACAGTCTTCCGCATCCCCTGAAGTACAGGCCAAGCGCAGAACTCTGTGCCCTCGAGACGACTGCCACATGATAAGTGATGACATGCAACTTACCCACGCCGTCGAGGTAGATACCCAAGAACTTCAAACTCAGGCTGCAATCAGCGCACGCTACTGCATGTGCGAGGGACAATTGGATGTTGAGACAAAAATTCTTCGATGTACCCTCTGCGGACATACAGTTTGTTCGGCCTGTGGCGGCAATCCATCGCATGTCTTCGAACCTTGGTCTGACATAAAGCGCATCCCACCCATGGAATTCGTCAGTGACCTAAGAAGACTACTGCCGGCGCGCTTGGTTCTGACTGGTATCTCTCGCGATATTTACTCCAAGTTTGTAACAGAATTAGGGACTTGCCCATCGCAGATTTGGTCACTTTTTTGGCAAGTCATAGACTCCAGCATCGATGGTGAATTTTCACTCTTGGACATCAAGCGCAGTGATGTGTGGACCGTTCAATATGAAGGTCAAATGTCGAGACTGAATCTTGTGATAAGTGAAGGCGGCCTTGAGTGGCTTCTCTATGCTTCCCCCCCAAGTCACAAGCCGTCTCTGTCCCTCATCCGAGAGATCCTCTCCAAGCCAATTGCACGGCTCAGGCCAGAGCGTGGTTCTCTCCTGAAGGGCGAATGGGAAGTATGTACTCTGATCAGCCTCCAGGGCCGGTTTAATGTATGCGGGGGTGGGCTCCAAATCGATAGCTACGAAGTTAGAAGTGGCCATCAAGATCCGCGATTCGCCGGTTCAAAAACTTGGACGCGTATTGAAATTCAGGGCTCCGACGAAGATGTGCAAAACTTGGATGCCGATATTCGAGGGTCATATGAACTTTTGCCAGAATGTGGGACCGCATTCGCATCCTTGCATAGGAAAGTCACAGCTGGGGAGGAACCTGTTGTTTATCTTTTCTTGGATTCGACCAAGCTTGGAAAGCCTGAAAATGACTCTTTTGTTTTCTCTTTTGAACATCGATTCATCTCTGGATATGATCGACGAAGAACGATTGCCGAAGTATCGCACACTTGGCGCTCTTGGAAAGCGAGCGACGTACCCGAGTCTATTCCTGTCTATCACCGCAAGTGGATCTACGCACCAGCTGTGTCTCTGACCCCTCATGCTCCCGATGCTTCTATTGAGTGCCATAGCTTGGCACCTGACAGCAAGATTACCACCTGCGATTCCGACTGTCAGAATGCCAATACCACCTTGCTCTCATTCAAACTGCCAATGACAGGGACGCAACTAGACAATTCAAACGACCAGTGGGAGGCGATAGATCCAGTACACTCGGCTTCAAAGCTGCGAGACGTCTTTTGGTTATTTCAGAAAGCGGCAGGCTTCAGTCCTTTTGAAGAGTGGCAGGATTTCATTCACGTGCAGATCGTGAAAGAGGGCAATCGATCAATCTGCGATGTATGCGCACCACCCAAACCACGGTTTCTGCCGGGTAGAGATCGACGGGGCCGTATGGTTACTTACGAAGACCCGTATGATGCAGCCCTATATGAGCGCCAGATGAAGCTGAAGCCTTCTACGTTCCTGTTCTTCCGTCGCATTTGCCAAACA